TTGGCAAAGGGATAAGGTTCAACTCTATTGCTGATTATCCAGGCCTGATAAACTCGGGTCTGCTGACACTTGTGTGAACTCATGCACGCTATTATGAGAGTACTGTTTCTTTATGAAATGTTTGACCTCCTCTCCATAAGATGAATTACAGTGAAAAGCTAGAATTTATCCCCATGAGGAAGGGAATGTTGGCGTTATAACTAAAAGAGGGAAATACTGAGTTAAAGCTTACCGTGAGACTAAAGCTGTTAAGGAAAAAAGTTGAGGGTAAGATGTTAGCATGATCAGTCCTTATAAAAACTAGCAACTGTACTAATGAGGAAAAACAATCATGGCACTATAAATAAAAGAGGGAAATGCTTTGAAGTTAAAGCTTACCATGACACTAAAATTGTTAAGATAAAGATTGAGAGTGTATGTTAATTAGCGTGGCCTGTCCTTGATGGATCCTAGAGCTTGTTCTTGTGGTAATTGTGCCAAGAATTTGTAAGATTCTTACAAGAATGTTTAGATAGATATTCAAGGTTTCTTATTTATCAAGTTCCTTTTTTGTTTATATAGACTTAATGAATGCAATCTATATGTCAGTGTGCATTTGAAATCAATTTTTTTTCCCTTTAAAGTAATGTTGGGAACTTTACAAGGAGCAGTAGGAAAGGATTCGGCTGTGAGATAGCAATCTGGTAACAAATGTTCTCGAATTATAAAGTTCTCTGAAATTATTTGTGCAAATAGGGGCAAAGGGGTTGCAATTTTGAAACTGGGATTAGAAGGAATGGCAGGGAGATATCTTAGCTAGGCATTAGTCACTTTGCAAATAAGTGACCATTTTTCTATGAAGAGTAGGTTAATGCTAAATGAGAATAGCTTTCTCTCCTAAAAATTTAGTTACCTGTGCAACTGAAGATAATTATTTATTCCAGCAGGAATTTTTCACTCATATCACTGGTTGAATCATAGAGCTGTCTTGTATTGTGTATAGAAGTACTTTTAGCCACAGATCTTTGAAACCTACTTGACAACTTAGTTTGAGACCCATAAAACCATTTTCAAAGTTTTTCAAGTGTAAAGCTCCTAAGAAACCTTTTGGTAGTTCTTCTTTCTGTTACTTTGTGAAGGACAATAATGATTTTCATAAATTGTGTTCATACTAGCATGTTGATGATTACATTATTAACTTTCTTGTTTCATCATTTCAATCAGTTATGAGTTAAGACTAACAGCAGTATATGTTACCATACACTTCTCCCTTCCTCAACTCTATCTAGTGCCAAGAGAAAAGCCAACATTACTACCAAATGGACCCCTGATCTGAAATATATTTAGTTTCACGTTAGAGATCATCTAATACATACCTCTTCTGTTTTATGCTAAGTGGTTGGGGGCCTGGAAGCACTCAAATTTTTAGCCCCGTTTTGAAATGTTTTGAACTTGGAAAGTATGGTAAATATCTTTACAAAAATCTTGAGACAATGGGATATTGATTGATTTAGATGCTTGGAACCAATAGAAATCTGAGAATAGAAGCTGAAACATTGTCATTGAAAAATACGAGGCTTGAGCATAACATGGTTCTTAATGTTTGACCTTGTAATTATTACTTTATATATGTAAAACTGAAATCTCGGAGTTTTTGTGCAACAACACGTAGGTATGGATTGACTGAACTAAGAACTGGTGATATTTCATCAGTTTATGATTTCAAATATGTTGGAAGTTCAAACATGTAGTGGTTGTTTTGCGGTGTCATAACTTTATGAACTATCTTTGATGTTCAATGAGGTGTACCAATTTACAAACTCCTTTTTCTTTTTTTATTTCCACGCTTCATATTTCTACACTTGTGAGCAAAAGCTGAAATTACTTTCAGATTGTGATTATAATAGAGTTGGATTCCTTTGAGTTGGTTTATAATAAAGTATGAAGGCGTCACATAGACATGAGATGTAGATACTGTAAAGTCTTGTGATTTGGTGAGTGTGTAGACCTGGAAGTGAATTTTTTACTCATCAACGGTAATAAATATTGGTCAAATATTTCTCTTGAAGATTTTATGCAATTTAATGCTTGCATAAAGCATGTAAATGGTAATAAAAAGATAGCAATGAATCATGCATTTTTCTCTGCATTGAAAATGTCTGCTTCAAATAGGCATCCGTTTGTATATTACATGCATGTTTGTTGTTCTTATATAGGTTGTGGATTAGAAGTGTAGGTAGAGTTCCAGACATCAGTAGTCACAGACAATGTTTTATGGCCAAAAACAAAATAGTGCATTAAATTTTGGTTTCTATCATGCCTTGGTATGGTGTAATTTATGTTGCATTTGCATGCCATTAATTCATCAAATACTAACTGAGATGTCATTAGTTAGGAGTAGAATTTGAGGCAAGGTCCCCTGCCTCATAGGAGGACTACATTTCTGCACAACTTCTAGAAACATCATATTGTAAATTGCTTTAATTTGTCCAAATTTCATTAGAATTAAGCTTCATATTCCTTCAGAAGATTTACTGGGTCTTGTTGCATGTTATCTGCAGATGCAACAATGTTCTCTACCTTCGTGGAGTTCCGGAGGATGAAGATGTAGAAGATGCCGACCGAGACTAAGAAGAGGTCTTCAATGTCTCTTGCTCTTCAATGTACTGAGTGAATAGAACTCCATTTCCATTTCAGATATGCTAATGTTATATTTGTGTTATGATTAGAGTTTCGTTGTTTGCCTTTGACATGAGCCATGGCATTTACTGCACTTGATGGACCGATTCATATCACCTTATTTAACTCTTTGATTGCTTGCTTCTGGATTTTCACTAAACACCTCTGTTTTTCACCTGTTCTAGAGTGATCTAGTTGAATGATACATGGATTCCATCTTCTCGTGTCACATAACCATCTTCTAGAGTAGGTCTTTGAATTGAAGAAATTCTTCTATGTGGTTATCTGGTTGATGAGTACAAAAGGAAAGCGGCTTATCTTTGTTTGAAGCTTCTTTTTTTTTCCCGTCCTAGACAACCTGAGAACTAATTACGATAACAGATAAACAACTTTCTACAATTCTTTGTAGAAGTAAAATTAAAGGAAAGGACATGCCAATTTCTTATTCACGTAGAAAAGTCAAAATGGCAGATTAATTTGTTGATTTAAATCAGAGAATTGTTGCTCGGGCATTAGGATGCGTCTTTTTCCGGTTCAATATCTTACTTTCTTCTCTATTTTGAGGTTTGTTCCCCATTTTGTCTGTGTCTAGTCAAAGCAGGGTGGCTTCATCTTTGCTATCTTTCCGGTGGCTCTCCTCATTTCAGGGAATTACTGTGCTGGATCCCTCTCCCTTTTTGCGTGCATGCAATAAGTAGTGTTGATGTGATTCCGTTGGTATAACAGGAAGGAAAGCTCCATCACCATCTTTGTGATTCCATTGGTATAATAGGAAGGAAAGCTCCATCACCATCTTTGTGTGTGTGTGTGGTCGTGCAAGAAACATGCCGAGCTGTTCGGCTTGTTTTTATTTGGCCCCAATAGATCAGTGTACTTACCGCCAAATTGTCTTCTTCTGCTAAGAAACACTTGAAGTATTAACTTTAAAGTTGGATTTCTGTAACAACTGACATGTGGTCAAACGCTGCTTGATAGATGGCTTTGCGCAAGAAATAAAAAAAAGGCAAGTCATACAAAGTTGGAATTCTCTCGTCTCTTGCGTTTTTTATTCAGCCCCAGACGCTATCTCTAGCTTAACCTTTCTAAATTAATGGTGTTGGTAGTGTACACTCTACATGGTATTGCGTGGGTTTGGGTAAATATAATTTTTTAAAAATAAAAAATATTATTTTAATATAGTAAAAATAAACACTCTTAGAATCCTCTAATCTCCATGCAATACCAAATAAAACTTCTTGGTTAGTTCTCCAAGGGGTATCGGATCAGCCAATGCAGATGGTATCAAAAAAAATAAAAAATTGAGAATGTAAATAATATAATAAGCCATACTGGTCGCACATTTGTCCATATGTATGCAAAGTACAAAACGTAACATCGAACTTTCGTGGAGTTAAGGGCGGCACGGGAAGACAGATGTGTTGTTGTTCCGAGCAAGGAATCATGCTTTGTAATGAAAAGGCATAACCCCAGCTAGCTACCACCAACTAACCACATGAGAGATAGATGTGTACTGTAAAGAATTGTTTGGCTGCCCAGAATTCATTGGGTTGCCCTTCTTCTCAACAACCATGTGAGAACCCACTTTCATCAAGCTGTGTGTGTGCCCACAGTTTTTCCATGGTGAAGGGCCCTGGATGCCTCCAAAGTCCTATTCACATTTATTAAGTCACTTTGCAGGACATAATTGGTTGTTTGTCCCCACCAAAAACATGTATTTTTAAACAACCTTTTGTGAGGGTCAAGAGCGGCTAATAATGTATTGTGTTAGTTTGCAGCAAAACTTAGTTGATTAGCAAATATAATAATAATAATAATGATCTGCGAAACGTGATTCTCTTCTTTGTCAATTCGAGTCTAATTAGCTCATAGTTGAACTCGTGGTTGATGGTGAACCTAAATTATCAGTGTTGGGAACATCACCTTGACCTCATCAGCCCACGTCCATCAAGTTAATTGAAATAATTCAAAATAGTTGTCGTATTAATCAATATTCAGTAAGATAAATGTTGGGGTACCCTCGGTTTTTGAAAGAAAACCTCCACTATTGCCATGGTGATATATCCATTGAGAAGGATGAATTATACACACTTCGAATCTTTTTCTTCAAGAAAAAGAGTCCTCTCTGTGGCCTGTAAAAGGGTAGCCTGATGGGATGCTTCTGGATTTTGAGTTCGTCTTAACCCACTCACCGCCGCATCAAAGAAGAAATAAAGAAAAGAGCGGGTCATTTACAGACAGCATCATGTCCGGGGCAATGTCTGTCTGTAGCCAATAACCGTAGAAAAGGATAACTCGAGTACAGAAACACGCAATGCTGCACGAGGAAATTTCAAGCAAGAGACTTCAAACTTAAACTTGGATGATCATCCATTCATACAAACACTTAGACGTAGAACAAGAATATTTGTCTGTCATTTGAACCATTTTGTTGGGTTCATTAAAAGGAAAATGAAGTCATGAACTAGGGCTAATCATTTATTACATTATGTATATATAAATTACAAGAACAAAAAATTCCTTCGTGAGAGGAGAGAAAAGAATCACAATTTGCTATAATGATAGCTCGTTCGATGACCACTTTAAGGGACACAAGGCAGGCGTCAAAAGTAGCCTCTCGCTTAAAATTCCTTCAATTCCAGTAAGGCTTCGGTATTTATAGAGTAAACTTTCACATCACCCTCCTTTCTTCATGGCCTACACGAACGATTAGTTACCATACATCACGTAGATACCTGCCATTCATTTGCAGACTTTTCACAAAGCTTTCTGTCTTTGAGTTGTCGAGGGATCCCTGGATATACAATCAAGTACACAAAGTGAGGTGCGATTGGGCGAAAAATTTATTTGAAACCCAGCTACAAATTCTTTCCCAATATGTAATTGAACAAGAAAAACAATGATTGAAATAGCAATACAAGCAAAAATTGCACATCAGAAAAATTGAGAAAGGGCGTGACTGCGCTCCGACACCAAGAGAGGGAGACAAATTTATATCATGATGTGGATTCTAGCCTACCAAGGAACTAAAGGGAGTGTATGGAATATGTCCACGTTCAGAACAAGAAAGCAATGTCGACATGGAAAAATCTCGATCACAGGAAAGCAACGGACATGGGATTGGGCCCTCTTCTAACCAGGTCTGTGGGGTAGGTTCTGTTACATTTTCCCCCCTAGTTTTCGTGACTACTAACCATGAAAAAGAACGCTGTACTAACACTTTTAAGGTGCACTGCATACATAGTGATAGAACCAGCTAGAAACTTCTAATAACAAGGCTTTTTTTTACCTGCTCTTGCACAATAGTGTGGAGCGCTCTGTGGACATCTTTAGCCATGCCTTTGGCATCACCACAAACATATAAATATCCTCCTTGTGAAATCATATTCCAGATATCGGAAGCCTGAACCAAAGAAAACACATGCTCAACGCTTTAGCTGATAACTAAAATAAATAAATGACATCGCAGCATTTTGATTTCACCAGATAGTGTGTTAGGTGAAACAGAACCCAAGTACCTTCTGCATCATCTTATGCTGCACGTATTCCTTGGTAGGTCCCTCACGGGAAAAGGCAACAACTAGTTCAGAAAGCGCACCACTTTCAACGAAGTTGTTGAGCTCGTCTTCATAGATAAAATCCTGCAAGGTTTAAGCGTGTTAATAAAATTCTTGAAATCAGGGTAGAAAGATGTCCCTACACCAACCACAGAGCATTCTAGATATATGATAATAACATAACCTACCATTTTGCGGTTCCTGCAACCAAAGAATAATACAGAGGATCCCAGTTCCGATCCTGATTCTTTTAGAGCTAATCTTTCCTGAAAAGGGAGATAAAAAGTAAAGATTATAAGATTGGATAATTCATTGTGAGAGCATAGATCACTTGAAAAAAGACAACTGAACATCAAGTTAACGAGTCCAAACCTGTAGGAAACCTCTGAAAGGAGCTAAACCAGTTCCAGGGCCAATCATGATGATGGGAACTCTAGAATCTGCTGGAAGTTTGAAGTTTGATTGCCTAACAAAAACTGGTGCCCAGCTGCAATCATGACTTTTCTCCAGAGGCACAGCGTTCTGTGGAAGGAATAAAATAAGAATTAACCTTGATAAACTTGGTGTATAGAATATTCTATCAAAGATCAAAAATAACATGGATAATAGAATCGTAATACAAACATCAGTACACATGCAAGGAACCGGGCTAACCCTAGCATCAATCATTGTAAAAATGTGGATCGCTAATTTCCAACCCCCGTGATAATTTAAGACACCCCATATATTTACTACCCAATTCAATCGATTTTTGTACTCCACCCTGAGGTGCTGCTTTGTCATAAAATGCAAAAAACAAAGCAAAACAGAAATTTTTGAACATGTACCTTCATCCAAGTTGAGCACACTCCTTTGTGAAGACGACCTCCCGGTGTTTTTTCAAGAACCAGCGCACATGTAACATGAATTCTTGATGGAGCCATGCTGCAAGTCATAATTTCAAATATTAGGCACATAAATTCCAAAGAACAGAATTAAGAATGATAAACCAAAGAGGGTGCAAGTGCAATTTTTGAAAGTAAATGGTCCTTGAATACATAAAAGTTCCCTTTGTGCTAAAAAGAGATATCCAGACTCCAATTACAGTTCCTCTAAAAGAGCTACGAAAGACAAAATCCAGATTTTTGTTCTCTTCAATATTATCCCGTTGATCAGTGGAAAAACTTTTGTCTGCCACATTCCATAACTTTTTATTCAGGAAAATTTAGCAAGCTAAAAGAATTTGGGTTTGCATTAAACATGATATGAATCCCTTGCCATCTTCCATCACAAACTAAGATAGATTAATTCTGAACCTTTCCAGAAAAAAGAGTGTAAAAAAACACACCTTGGAGATGATGAAATAGAATAGTATCTTGGTTGCAATCGAGGTGCAACTGAAGCAAAGAAGACACCAAGTGGTGGCTTGCCTGATGGAAATTCAGCCATGACCTCAAGGAGGCTTCTCTGATTTGCAACTAACAATTGTGCATATTCATCCTGTACAAGAGTGCAAATCAAAGTTATATACACTTAAAGCTACAAACTAAAACAGGGACTAACTTGATGACAAAATATTGTTGGTAGATCTACAACCTTCCCAGCAGGCGATGCAAGATGCCTTAGTCGATCAGCTTCTGTTGGATCAGTAGCATAAGCTGCTAAAGCCATTAGAGCAGACTGCAAAGCATATGCATGGCAACAATAGATTACTCAAATGTGGAAAAAATCCTATAAAATGAAATATGATATTCAATGATGCTTCGACTTAAGAAAGCAGCTAACCTTCTTGGGCAAACTCAAAAGATCAGCATATCGAGCTAGAGCAGTTTTTAAGGTGCACGGTGGGAATGGAGGTGGCAAGGCGCTTCCACTAAGTGGTGTGCCATCCTCATTATCAGTGTGGATAGAGAAATAAGTATCTGGTGATAAACCCAACAACTGCAGTGCTTCCTCTACAGTTTCACTTAGATTTTCACAGTAAACACCAACATGATCACCAGTTCCATATCTGAACAACAAAGGAACAGTTATGAGCACAAAATAAATTGTTCCATGCATAACCAGTGCACATTGTTCTCTTACAATTATTCCCCAGGAAAATGCATTTGGATGCCATTTTCAGGGGGGGGAAAGAGAGAAAACAACAAAGATATTGCAAACAACTTACGCAAGTCCGGTGCCTGATATGTCAAACTCCAGATGGGTACATGAACGATCAGATGCCGGGGTATGAAGCTCCCTCCTCACAGCAACATTAGCCCTTCGGTAGTAAACAGAGCACAACTTAGCTCAAATTAAGTTGCTAAATTGTCACCAGAAAATCCAAAAAGAAATATTTTATGATACCTGCATGGATGCTGAGCATCATAGACAGCATGGCCATTTGCATTACTCCAGTTATCATCCTCTAATGGGGCATCTTCAGGATCATGGAATACAACCCGATATTCTGATACAGTGGCAGTATAAGGAGTAGAAACAGCTGTTGGATCGTCTCCATCAAGAAGCAACTGGTCCATCTCAGGCCACAACAATTCCCGCCTTAAATAGCAAGAAGAAAAGGAAAGAATGAGATCTCTAGTTACAAGAAAGTTCATTCTGTTCATGCAGTATACCAATTCAAGTTCTCCTTACCATGCAGCAAAGTCATCTTCCATGCATTGATCATCATCACCAAGACCCACTGGGGCAAGGCGCTTCCCGCCTAAAAATACAAAGAGAAATATGGTTATGGAAAGAAAACAAGGAAAACTTGGTTGCTACGCAGAATGAACAACATCAATAAGCACGTTTTAACTCTTGAAGACCATTTGATGATAATAAGGAAAAACACTGACCACAATGTGGCACACAATTAATTATAAAACTCTTCTAATTTTTATATTAAATATGCAGCTAATTGGGTTTCAATTTTTTTAAGAAAAAAACTAATTGAATTGTAGAAACAGTGTTCCTTTAGGAGCAAAAGCTTCGCATGCATCAGGACAGCCTGGCAGACTCTATTTATCTTGGCAAGGAAGCTGGCTAACATCAAAGGACACACTGCCTTCCTCAACGCACAAAATATTTGCAAAGTGGCAATGCATTATTGACAAAAGATCCATATTGCAAAGCGAACGTGTTTCCTTGAGTAATAGCAAGTCTGAACATGCAATTCATTGACTGTACACAGCTTCAAAATCCTTTACATTGTTTTCTGGTTGATCGAGAATGTTTTACTCAGCACGTTTGCTAGTTTAACAAACAAATAGATAGTAGAACATGGTCTTCACAAGCACTGGTCTTGTCTGTATATTCATGGTTCACAAACACAAATTTCATTGAATCACATTATTCAAATCTAAGGAGTTTCAGCCTGGCTATATACTCATCAGTATAAAAAAATTAGCAAGAAAAACTCTAGACATAAAAAAAAAATCCCAAACAAATTTTCACGAAAACAAGGAGCAATCAAGTATGTAGGCATACCCTGGTCAGCAAAGATTTTATCCACCACTATAGCAATCTGTTAAACGAAACAAAACAAGTATATAAACAGTTAATCAGCAAAAACACGCAATTAAAATCCCGGGCTAATTGTGAAAGAAAGCATAAATAGAGTCACATTCCACACCTTGTTAAAATGCTCGTATTGCCTGTTTCCAAGGCCAAAAACTGCATATGGGAGGTCCTTGAGCCATTCCCCTCTCTCATTTCCCTACATGAACACAATCATAAAACTATAAACACTAATTACGAAATCCTGCTCTCTAATACCAAACCAATCAATACTTCCCAGAAACTCACCTCTGTAAACCATTTGTAGAACCTTGCCGCATTATCAGTAGGCTCACCATCTCCATATCTAAACACCCCCATACATCAAAAACAATTTAAAAAAAAAAACTATAATAAATTACAAGTAGACTATAATCAAAATTACTCACGTGGCCAAGAAGAAAATAACCAGATTCTCTTTCTTCAATTTCTCTTCGTATTCATCGTCATCAACAGCATAATCATCCTGTCATAAATAAATAAATATATAAAATTAGATATTAAAAAAATCAAGAGAAAAAATAAAATAAAAATGTCCACCATACCAAATCAATAGTTTTGAATGTGGCCTTGTCATACCGAGCTTTTGCCTCCTCAGCTAGAGCCTTAAAAAAATCAAAAGAAAATCTTAGCTAAACTACTCATCAACTAAAGCCGAATTCTCACCGTACACGTGGGACATCATCGCACGTGCACGGTGATGATTACAGAGTCAAGTCACTCCATCGATAGCATTGTTATAAACTAAAGTGTACCTTAGCAAATCCTTCTGCGGTACCGGTTTGGGTGCCGAAAAAGATGGTGACCTTTTTCTTGCCATCGTCAACTTCAGGTTCGAGGTCTTTAACAATCAGGGGCTTAGGAGGTACAGGTACTTTGGGTCTCTGATACCCAGATGATCTTCTCCAAATCAAAACGACGACGCAGCCGATCAAAACAGCGATGGAAGTAGTTAAGATCATAACAAACTCACGATTCTCGAGGATCAAAGTTGCTACCTCAGCAACAGAACCACCGGACTCAGATGAAACATTCGTGGGGTCCACTTTGCCTTTGATTATGGCTTGCATAATATCGAGTGGAGACACTTTGATCGAGCTGCTTGTTGACTCCATGTTGTTTACAGAGATTCACAAACCAGTTTCTTCTTATTACTACTCTTCTTCTTCAAGGAGGAAAAAAGATCTCTCTCTGCTTCTTGCTTGTTTTGTGGTTGGTGGGCGAAGGCGGAGAGAGAAATAACCAGAGAGAGTTCCCTGAGAGGGGAAGGCACGAGAGAAATGAGGGGGGGTAATAAAGGGAGGATGGAGCTGCAACGCCAACCAAACCAGACTGGTCAAACTCACCAAACTCTGACTTAACCATGGTTAAGAGTTATTAAGGCGGTTGATTTTAGATGGAGTCAGGCTATGGAACGGTGAAGTTCTAAAATGCCCTTTTCTGTCCTTTTGTTTTTATTAATTAACTATTATTATTTCTCAGCAAAGTAAAATTGTTTTGTATTTATGACATTTGGATTTGATTTGCTTTGCTGGCCTTTGAGATTTGGATCTGATATTATATTTATTTATTTATTTTTTCGTAAGCAATAAATAAGGAGTAAAGGGTCGTTGGCGCAAGGATACAACTGTGCATCTGAATATCAATTTTTTACTTTTTCTTATTTCAGTACATGGACTTTAGTTTTTTTAATTTTACACAACCTTTTCAAATCCATGAGATTGTAATTCCGTATTATGAATTATTTATTTTTATATTTTAAAATTATTTTTATAAAAATTTTAAAAAACATTTTTTATTTTAAATTAATATTTTTTGATATTTTTTATTATTATTTAAAATATAAAAAAATATTATTTTAATACATTTTCAAATAAATATAATTTAAAAGTAATCGCAATTATACTTTCAAATTCGCTTTAAATTCTTGTATTTTAAAAAAGTATTTGAAAAAATAATAGTTATTGTTTTTAAAGTATTTTTTATCTAAAAATACATAAAATAATATTTTTTATTTTGTAAAAAATATTTTTAATATCAACATATTAAAACATTAAAAAAAAATTAAATTGATGAAATATGGTATATATCACGTTTGCAAGTGCTCCCTAAATTTTATATCAGACTTTAAATTTTAGGATTTCTTTTGCTGGTAAAAGGTACTTATAAAGTAACATTGTTTGGTTAAAATAAATTTATTTATTTTGTTAAAATGAAGGACACTAGCTAGATGTTGTTAAGTAATGTATGTATTTAATTGAAATATTTTGTTAGGTAATTACGGTTGTTTTTTTTTAAATATTTTTTAATTAAAAATATATTAAAATAATATTTTTAAATTTTTAAATTTATTTTCAATATCAATACATAAAAAAATCATTTTAAAAAATGATATTTTTAAATTTTTAAATTTATTTTCAACATCAATATATAAAAAAATCATTTTTCTTTTAAAAAGAAAAAAGCAAGGTCACAAGGGAAAACCAAACGAGATAAGTCATTTGCATTTCAAACATGTCGCGTGAATTCCTGATAAAAGACAGTCATTTGCACTGTAATAAATATAAATCTTCTACATTTGCACGTGTTTTTGTTCTATATTTGAACCCTGGTCCCGTCTTTTTTTTTCTTTCTTTCCTTTCATCACTTTGTTATCATTTGTTTTGCATAATCCAAAATAATAAAAATATTATCAACAAGAAAAATAAAAATAAAAACCCATAAAACACCAAGTCCTTTGCATCATTCAAAATTTAAGAAAAAACCAACTTCAATAGGAACATAGAAATAAACCATAAGACACAAAATATTTATTAAAAAAAAAACTCTTCCAAACAAAGATTTTTAAGACGTTTAAACAGCTGCAGTTAAAAAATTAGATTTAATATTAATGAATCTAGTAATTAGAAAACTAGATAAATAAAATCTTTGAAGATTAGTTTGTGAGGTGACAAGCACAATTTTGTTGACAAGAATAAACTACAAGTTGGATAATATTCTTTCGACAACAAAGGGTAGGTAATATTTAATTAAGTAATGGGCATCAACACAGATTCATAGTGATTAAATAATCATTTATTAATATAAGAGATGTTAACCCGCGAGTCTGCATTATTATTGTTTTTTTAAATAATGTTTAGATATTGTGAGTGCCTTTTGAAGAAAGAAAAAATATTTATGACTTGGGTTATAGTACTAATTTGTTAAATAATTTAATTTAATTTTAATTAAATAATAAGAAAAAATTAATAACTTTAATAAACATATAAGATAAAATAAAAAACACAATAACTCAGGGAAAACATTCATTTTTCAAGAGCGGAAAAGTGATATTATTTAATTTTTAATCAATTAAATATAAAATGATAAAATTAAGTAAAAAATAAAAATATAATTTGAGTCAAACGGAGATAGCGTGATAAACATGTAACCTGAGCAATAAAGGATGAGCCAACTAGATTAACCTATTAAATCCACATCCCAAGTTATGAGAATGACACGGAAAAAATAAAAAAAAACTACAAACTTGATTTTTTAAAAAAACAATATTAAACAATGAAATAAAAAAGAAAAAATAGACTGAAAAAGGATGTTAACCCTTTATGACTTTCCAAACCAATGATCCATATCATTAAACTTAAAGTACCATACATAGAAAAACATCAAAACTCAATTCCTAACAAATCAAATATAAAATGATAAAATTAAAAAAAAAATATCAATTACATAAAATGATTCAAGATAAAAATAAAAATAAAAGGGATGATAATAAAAATAAAAATAAAAATAAATTATAGAACAACAAAAAATTTTCAATTGGATAATAAAATTGAAAAGAAAGTAACTTTAACAAAATAAAAAAACAAAATCCAAATAATGAGGACCAAACTGAAAAAACAATATACTATAAATGTGCACTGGATGATAAAATTAAAAACCAATAAACCTTTACAAAAAAATCAAGAAAAAAAATAGAAATAAAAAGAATAAAAACATAAATTAAAGCACGAATAACAAAGAGAACTTGTATATAATTTTTAGGGGATGAGAGATAAGAAAAGAAAAGAAAGCTCCACCAAAAACAACAAACTCCATTGCCGCTGACGTGCACCATACCAACAAGAAAATGACGTGATGTTGGTTTTTAATAACATAACAAAAATATATATTTAGTCATTAAAAGGTGTCACTACAGATGCGGTGGTGCCTTCAACACACAAGCAAATGCAAAAGATACACTGATATGTTTTTTTTTCATTTAATAATATATAAATTATGCAGAAAAATCAAATCACCCTTCATGAAATGGTAATAACTTAAAAAAACATAGTGAAAATACTAAAAAATCCCTTTAACACGTGTTTTAGTTTTTTTAATGATAAAGTTGTTATTTTAGTGTGTTTTTAAAAGTAAAAAGACATAAACATCCTTGCATATCAGTTTTAAAAATTTTATCTTATAAGATAATGGAGTTATTTTACTACACTTAAAAATATAAAAATATATATATACTTTCAGTTAATAACTAGTGAGTTATGTGAAAAAAACCTAAATACCTTAACATCACGGTTTTTGATTTTTTCTTTTAAGGATAGATATGTCATTATATTTCTCAGTGAGTAGTATAAACAAATTTATATTTCTAAATAATTTTAGATGACGGGATTGAAAACTTTTACATGTAAAAAAATAATGCATATGCTTAAAAAAATTCTATGACAATGTTATTAAACTCAGCCCAATAAATTAAACTTAAACTTTCTTAACCAAATATTTTATTTAACTTGAGTTTTAAAATAAATTATATGGGTTGTTATGGTATGACCCAAATAATCTTGTAAGTTAAAGGAATCCATGACAATTGATAAAGCCATGTTTTGATTTTAAAAATATTTTTAAAATAATATATTTTCTAAAAATAATATTGAAATGATAATATATTTTATAAACATGAGTCAATTTAGATTTATTTATCAAAGATTTTTAATGTTGTTTTTTTACTAGAATTATTTTTTTATCTAATAATATAATAAAAAATTATTTATTTAATGTGTCATTAATAGCGATTTCAATTTAAGTGATTTTACCACTAGCACCACATACTGGTTCGTTACTATATAGTTTAACGTGTCCAATCCTACACCAAACATAGCAAGGGTCAAATATACTCTAAATGAAGTGTATATCCTTTTTAAATCACATTACAAGAAATCCAATGAATGCTTAAAAACAGAGTAATCCTCTATTTTTCTAGAAAAGTAAATGAAAAAATAAAAATCAAAACTTTATGTTTAAATACAATATTTATCCATTCATAAAATAAATTTCCCAGATTTTAAAATTTGTACTCAGTTTGAAAAATACATCTTAGAGGCTGTCTATAATTTTTCTTTACAAGTTTTCTAAATGAAAAAAATACATGAAGAATATAATTTATATATGTGCGTATACCCGCATAAGCACTTTATAACAATATAAGAGATTAAAAATAGTTAGTGTTATAAATTTATTTTTATTATAAATCTAATATAAAGATTTATGAGTTAGTAATATAGCTTTTTACCATAATTTGTAATTTTAATGAAATAAAATTAATAATTTATTATTAGATTATCATGAATATAAAATATTAAAATGACTTTTATAAATTATTATTTTAGTTTTTTATGAAAAATATTAATTTTCATGTATTTCTTATCTTGTTTGGTAAAAAAATCCATCTTTATTGTCAACAAATAAATATATTTTTATTAAAAATACATCAAAAAAATAAAAAAGAATGTTAATCATCACCTGTATTATTTTTTAAAACTCTAAAAATAAAATTTATCATTTGTCTATAGTAATCTTTGATAACTTAGATACAATGAAGTGTGTTTCTAAAAATTTCTAATTTTTCTTAAAAGTATAATTGGACGTCAACCAACAAGAAAAGAAAAAGGCAACGTGCGGTAAACACGCACAGGAATGGCGAGACCGTTGGAGGTCACGTGAACCTCATATAAAATCCACGCGCCTCCAATGATCTAGCCAATCCCTTTCAGGTTCGTGTCGCTGTTCTAAACAATAAAATCATGCAATTTTATTATTGTATCGACATAGAATTAAAATTTCAAAAATGCTAAACTGAGAGGGACCCACCCATCAAAATCCAAGGACTAAATTGTCACAGGCTGGATCGGTAGTGGGCAGCCACAAAATTGATCAGAAAATGCATGTGGAGAGAAGTGGTGGCTCCTTTCTCACCAGAAATCTTTTTTAAAAATTTGATGGC